GATGGCAGATAGGAGTGGCGTGATGGTCTCGTCCTGAGATCTTTATATAGGGAACAAGACAGGAGAACGTGTGACACAGTCTCTACGTAGCCAGCTCCACAGGGGCAGAGCCAGTTCTCGAATGAAATTTTTTGATATCTACCTTCAAGAACAGCTGAGGGTAACATATTTAGTCTGGCCAATGTAAAGGCCCGTCTGAATTTTGGAATAGTTAAGGTAGACAAATAAGGTGCCCGAAAATCAAAGTGGGAGGGGCAGATAGCTGTACCAAGCACTAAATTTCTTAATATAAGCCAGATTATTCTGCTGCTCAATATCCTTCATGCGCTGGTCAATAATGGTTTTTGCCTTAGGTAGACCCATTTTCAGGAGATGCTGTGCTTGGAGGCCACATGTAAGTAGTTTTTGATGCACTAGTTTGGACCACCGACTTCTATGAGCATCTCGTGCTACTAGAGGTAGTAGTCCGGATGGGTTTAAATTTAAGCGAAGCCAATAGTTGAATGTTCTTAACCAGGTTCGGGTTTCCGACGGAGAGGAGGCCAGTCTCCAGCCGTAGGGCCGCGTTTGGTGCGCATGGTGGAACGGCTAGAATCTGTCTTAAGAATTTAGACTGGACCGTTTCAAGTGTGCGGCAATGATTTCCCTTCCAGATTTGGGCCCCGTAGAGTAATTGCGCCAAGGGTTTTGCTTGGAAGACCTCCAGAGCTGCTGGGATATATCTGCCCCCCTTTGTAAAGTAAAAGCGAGACAGTATTTTGGCGCTTTGAGATGCTTTTTCCCTAGCATATTTATGATGGGCCTCCCAGGTCCCAGATGACTGGAAAACTACTCCGAGGTATTTGAAAATTTTGACCTGTTCTATTGGCTGATTGTCCATCTCCCACCTGTGATGTCTGTGTCTCCTAGCGAAGACCATGACTTTGGTTTTTTGGTGATTAACCACCAGTTGATCTCTCCTGCAGTAGGCTGAGAATTCTCTTACTAGCCTTTTGAGGCCTACTTTAGTTCGTGATAAGAGGACCGCGTCGTCCGCATAGAGGAGCGCTGAAATTGATTTTTTGACCAGTTTGGGGGCATGAAATTCCGGGGATGTTAGGTATTTGACCATATCATTTATATATAAGTTGACTAAGGCTGGGGCTAAAATACAGCCCTGCTTGACTCCTTTGGTGGCTGGTACAGGGCCAATTAGTTGCCCATTTACTGAGGTTCTTACATATAACTTGGAGTCTTTATAAAGGCTTTTTATCAAGAATAGTAATCTTTTGTCAATGTTGGTAGCATTGAGTTTAGCCCAAAGTTTGACTCGTGAGATCAAGTCAAAGGCCGCCTTCAGGTCAATAAAAGCTGCGTATAGAATCCCACGTGTTTTGTTGACATATTTATCAATGAGGTGTGCTAATATGAAGCAATGGTCTATTGTTGTTCTGCCCTGTCTGAAGCTGGCTTGCTCCTCTGCCAGAACTGCCTCAGTTTCCATCCAGTCAATTAGTTTGATGTGGAGGTGTTTGGCATACAATTTGCTGGGGATAGTAAGGAGGCTAATGGGTCTATAGCTCGCTGGATCTGCCATTGGACCCTTTTTGTAGATTGGGATGATTACTGCCTCTGTCCAGCAACCAGGGATTATGCCTGTTGAGTCGATGTATGTAAATATTGATGCCATTATAGGCGCCCACCAACTGATATTGTTCTTCATGAGCTCTGCTGGAATGTGGTCTATGCCCGGGGCTTTGTTGTTTTTCAGTTGGGCAGTTAGTTTCCCCACCTCCTCTATGGAGACAGGAGGCCAATATGGTGAGTTCTCGGAGTAGGCACTTGGATCATTGTGCTGAGCTTTGTCGTCATAGAAGAAGGTTTGAAAATATTTCATCCACTCCTGGGGTTCTACAGTACATATGGGACCAATCCGCTCCTGGCCCAGGAGCCCCGTAATGGTACGCCAGAAGGAGGTTGAGTCTTTCTCATTCGAGGCCTTCACTAAATTACACCAGGCCAATCTCTCAGCTTTTTGTTTTTTTTAACCTTTAATAGCTGTTTGTAGTTTCGTCTTAAATAGATATAAGCCATAAATAGCGAGGGTGTTCCGGTGTTTCTGTAATTCCGATAGGTTGATCTCAGGCGTTTCCTTGCTTGTCTACACTCCAAATCAAACCATCTGTCTTGATCCATTCCCCGCTTTGTAACAGAATTAAGTATCTCAGTTGTTAGGAAGGTCTTTAGTCTTACTAATAACTCGTTAAACGAGTCCATGGCCTTTCCCCCGGTATTAGCTGATACAATGGCTAAGTAGATGGTCTTCACGTCTTCCGAGTGGAGGAGATAAGTTAGCTCTGTATTGAGCATGGGGGTCCATTTGATTCTTCTGGGGGCCAGTGATCCCAGATTAACGATAGGGGTGTAGTAAAGGTTAGCCGCAGGTTTGTTAAACGATGGGCCATTGAGTGCTAAAATTAGTGGAAGGTGATCGCTTTCGGTGTTATGTCCCACTTGAAATTTCGACACAGAGTTATAGGCGCATCTTGATATCAGAATATAATCTATCACACTTCCTCCCATCTTTGAAAAATGGGTATACTCCCCTGGGCAATCCTCTTCCTTACTACCGTTTAATATCATCAGCTCCCTTCTTTTTGCGACCTGGGCTAGACATAGCCCCGAGAAGTTGCATTTATTATCTTTAGAAAGTCGTGAAACGCCTGCTTCGGTTGGACTTTCTGGGTCCTGAATCTGATTATATTGACTGTAAAGATTGTTATCATCAATTCCCATACGGGCGTTGAAATCCCCCCCGATTATAATCAGTGTAGAAGGGTGGGAAGCTTCTATGGACTCTAAGAATGCCTCTAACTCTGCCCAGTTAGCTTTCACTATAGATTTTTTTTGGCAGGGGAGCAGATAGACATTGACCACTACCAGTGCATCTCTCTTAGATTTGAGTAGGACTGCCGTGGCTAGTGAGTTGCAGTTTGGGAGAGCTTTTAAGGAATGTTCAAGCTCTAAGGAGATAAGGCTGGCTAAACCTCCACTAGGCCTACCTCCCCTCACAGATGGAGTAGCGAATAGGGAGTGACAAGAATACCCATTGAACAGAATGGGGTCGCTGTGCCAGGTCTCCTGCAGGAGGATGATATCAAATCGCTTAAGAAACATTGCAAGTTGTTGATTGTTTTTCTTAGCGCGCCATCCTGCAATGTTCCAGGACAGCAGCTTTAATTCTCTGTCCCTCCATGATGTTAATTTGTTGGGTCCACGGTGTCCAGTGACCCCTTTACATCTAAAAAAACACTCCCATTAAGTTTGTCAATAGGCAACTGCTGCATAAGGGAATGATTATCCATAGCTCTTGGGGACTTAAGGGGGTAGTTTGGACTTGGGGGAGTAGCTATTTCATTTGGGTAGAGTTTTAGATAGTTGAACCAAGTACTCGGGGATGTGACAGTCTGTTTTAGTTTTGCCTTACCATATACCAGCGGGGGCTGCAATTGGTCTTCTGGATCTACACATTTAAAGGCGCCACCCACCGTCCTCTTGTCCACTAGGCACTTGGGGGATATAGGCTCTGTGTGTGAGCCTTCCATAGTCTCAACATAGGCCTCCTTTGTGGTCAATTTGCTTCTCAGGGTGTCCAGTCTAACCAAGATTTCCTTTTGGGCTGGCATCTGCAGTGACCAGAACCGATTTGCCTCTGGTTCAGGTGACTTGCCGTTTGCCAGTATTCTAAGTTCTTGTGGTCTGTGCACACCTCCACTTAGTGTTGTGCCCCTTCAAGGAAGTGTCTCCAAACTGCTATGGCCTCTCTTCTGGCAAGCAGTTCTCTCTCCCAAATGGTGTGGTTCTGTTCTGAAGTGTTCAACTTCCTGGAGTGAAAGGTACATGGCCTCAGATCACTCTGGCTGTTCTCTTTCAGTAACACCACTCCTATGGCTCTTTCTGATGCGTCCATTTCCACCACCAATGGTCGCTGTGGGTCTGCGTGGTGCAGATACTCTTCTGCAGCGAACATCTCCTTGAGCCTCTCAAATGCATCTTGGGCCTCTGCTGTCCACCTGAACGGCTTTTTGCCTCAGACAGTTCGTAAGAAGAGTCGTGAGTTGCGAATATCCGGGCATGAACTTGTGGTAATAATTAGCTAAGCCCAAGAACCTCTGCAAATCTTTTTTGGTCTTTGGCTTCTGCCACTCTAGCACCGCCTGCACCTTGGCCGGGTCCATGTACACCCCTTCATGAGGGACACGATATCCCAAAAACTCCACTTCCTTGATGTGAAACTGGCACTTTTCCAACTTCACATAGAGGCTGTGCGTCCTCAGTCTGCGCAGCACCTCCATCACATGCTGTGCGTGCTCTTCTGGGTTCTCTGAATAAATCAAGACGTCATCGAGATAACACAGAACTATATTGTCCAATAACCCTGCCAGTACGTGACTGATGAATGCCTGAAATGTGGCTGTGCCCGATTGTAACCCAAATGGCATAACTAAGTATTCAAAACTTCCATATCTGGTATTAAATGCCGTTTTCCACTCATCACCTTGTTTCACTCGTATTAAGTTGTACGCCCCCCTCAGGTCCAGCTTGGTGATAATTTTCGCTGACAATAACCTCTCCAGCAGGTCACCAATATGGGGCAAAAGGTACTGGCTGGGAATCATGAGGTGGTTGCTTTTTCTATAGTCCACCACAATACGGCGTTCTGGGGTGTCCTTCTTGTTCACAAAGAACACTGGTGACTCACCAGGCGCCCTTGACAGCCAAATAAACCCATGCTCCAGTTTCTTCAGAAATTCCCTGAAATCAGCCAATTCCTTCTCTGACATGGTGTATAGACGACTGGTGGGCAACTGGGCACCAGGCAGCAGGTCTATCTTGCAGTTGTAAGGTCTGTGAGGAGGTAGCCTGTCCGCCTCCTTTTCACAGGACCCGGCTCTGTAAGCCTTATACTGCGGGGGTATGGAACTCTTCTCCTGTGAGTCCCCCCCCCCACCTCTGCCCCTTTGGCTCCTGCCTCTGTTGGCACCTGGAATCCTAGACAGTGTGCTTGGCAGTAAGCTGAAGCAAACGTTACGGAACGCTGCCCCCATGCTATTACTGGATCGTGCTTAGTGAGCCACATCATTCACAAGACTAGGGGGTAGGTAGCTAACTTGGTGATATGAAACATCATTGCCTCCTTGTGGCCTGACAACTCCACCCCCATAGGCTGTGTGGCATAGGCAACTTGCCCCCCCCCAATGGTCTGCCATCAATTGTTTGCACTTCCAATGGGGCTTCTAGCCACTGTGTGCCCAGCTTCTGCTGCTCCACAAAGTCTGAGTCTAAAAAGTCCAGGGAAGCCCCTGAGTCTATGAGCCCTGCACCCTGCAGCCATCTGGGAGTCATAGCGTCACCGGCACAGCAATTTGAGGGATGAGTGTTTCAACCTGAGGCCCTTTCAACCCAGCCGTCGGCCTCCTTCACGGACTGTGGCCTTCCATTTCCCGCTTGTGCCTCTTCAAGCTGTGATCCTCCCCCACGCAGGCCCCAGGCAGGGAACTCCCCACCTTTTAACTTGAGCACTGTCTTGCCAAATGTCCAGCTTTGCCACATGCAAAGCAACGTCTGGTCTCTTGATGACGTCTGCCCCCCTCCATCCATTCTGCTCCTGGATTCCCCTTCCCTGCTGAGCCCAGTTGCATTGGTTCAGGAAGGTCCTCCTGTCTGGGCGTACCAACTCTTGGCTCTGGCATGTTAGGAATGTGGTTTTTCAAAAACATCAGCGGTCCCTGTCCTTTCTTCTTGAGCATCCTCTGCTGCTGTCTTAGACCCAGTTGCAGGGAAGCATGGCCTAATTCCTCCCGAGATTCTAGGGGCGCCATTCTTGATAATTCTGCCTGATATAAGGCAGCCAAAGGAGCACTGTTCGGCTGCCAGCCAAGCTTTGGAACCAGCAAATTGAAAGCAGTCCAAAAACCAGAGACTGTTTTACTGCCTTGGCACAGATTCAGTAACTCCTGCTCGGCTGTCACATTTTTCAGGGGCTTTT